ATTTGGAACCAGTCTGTTGTTCCATGTCCAGTTCTAACTGTTGCTTCCTGAACTGCATACAGGTTTCTCAAGAGGCAAGTCAGGTGGTATGGTATTCCCATCTCTTTCAGAATTTTCCACAGTTTATTGTGATCCACACAGTCAAAGGCTTTGGCATAGTCAATAAAGCAGAAATTGATGTTTTTCTGGAACTCTCTTGCTTTTTTGATGATCCAGCAGATGTTGGCAATTTAATCTCTGGTTCCTCTGCCTTTTCTAAAACCAGCTTGAACATCTGCAAGTTCACGGTTCAAATATTACTGAAGCCTGGCTTGGAGAATTTTGAGCATTACTTTACTAGTGTGTGAGATGAGTTCAATTGTGTGGTAGTTTAAGCATTCACTTAGGAGATATTAAAATTGAATGCTCGGGTTCCTGTCAATAGATTCTAAGTAGCCAGCGCTGGTAAACAGCCTAGAATATGGGTTGACCTGTTATTAAGCAACTTAATGGAACACCCAGGCAACAAGGGGACTTGTTTTAACCACCTGCATACAAACCTATGGACTATTTTGCTGCTGCTATTGTTGCTTAGTTGCTAAGTCATGTCTAATGTTTTGCAACCCCATGGACTATAGCCACCAGGCTCCTCTGTCTATGGGATTTCTCAGTCAAGAATACTGGAGTGGGTTGCCCTTTCCTCCTCCAGGTGATCTTCCTGAGCCAGGAATCGAACCCACATCTCCTACATTGGCAGGTGGAATCTTCACCACTGAGCCACCAGGGAAGCCCCGGGACTCTTTCCATCCTTCACAACTGCAAACCATCTGTCTCTACTTGGTGGAGCCACCATGAATGCAGCATCCCACCCCCTCCTAAACCTACCAGTCTCCCCCACCCCACAGTTTTTCTGCCTTGGGGAACTACTCGGTGACTGTTGTCCGGAAAAAACAAACTCAACATTCACATTTGTCATCAGCCTGGGGTTCCTTGTCCTGGACTTCATGGTGGCCGTGGCTAAAGCAGAGGGAACCCTGAAGTTACACATTATTAGTCAGGGTCCTGTGTCCACAGCAGCTTTCTCGTTCCCTAATATCGTCCCAAGACGGCACACTCAAGACCTTGTCTCAGGAGAAAATAGTGAGGGCTCCCAGCTGGTTTCTGCTTCCTCCAAGGTCAAGTAAACCAATTCAAGGAACAAAGTCCAGAGAATTCCCTGGCAGTCCAGGGGTTAGTGCTTCCCTGCTAGGGGCCAGGGTTCAATCCCTGGTCAGGGATCTAAGATTCCCCGCCTCCATTCCCCTCCCCCCAAAAGGAACAAAGTTCATTACTATATTGCACCTTTCCAACTCAAGAACACAGACCAGGGCTTCCGTGGTAGCCCAGTGGTTAAGATTCCATGCTTCCACTGCAGGGGACATGGGTTTGATCCCCTAGCTGGGGAAGTTCTGCATGCTACGAAATGCAGCCAAAAGGAGAAAAAAAAACAACACAGACCAACCCAGGAGAGGTAGGTTTGCTTACCTCGTTTAGGTATGGATAACAGAAATTTGAGATTAATAGCATCTCCCCAGTCCCTGAGGATTCAACAAACTGTTCAGTATCAAAAGAAATATCTAAGACCTTGTTCAAAGTCTGATTGAGAAGCAGCAGCAGCAGCTGGGAGTCTATTAGAAGTGCAAGCCCTCGGGTCCCACTCCAGACCCACTGAATCAGAAATTCTGGGGGTGAGAGCAGGATTTTTTTCTTACTGTGCTAAAACACACAAAATGTAAAATTCACCATCTAACCTTTTTAAGGTGTACAATTCAGTGGCTTTTAGTATGTTTACAATATTGCACAACCAACAGTACTATTTGGT